CGATAAGTGTATTCATGTTCATGCATTCATCAATATTCATGTTCACAGACCGTTAAAAACAATCAATTTAAAAGAAAGTCTTCTCAGGGTGAGCTGTGTGTGCATACTATAAGCTGAAGCGGAGGAAATTTATTCGTGAATTATGATAGATACTCATTCACTGAATGTCATTATTCCAATACAGGGTGTCCCAAAAAAAAGTCCCCGCTATTGAAATGAAGCTTTTGTTGGAATTTGAATGCATGATCAACGCAGTAGTGTGTAAATAGCATATTTATTAGGTTGAGGCATTCAAATAAAGCGTCTTGCTTTCAATTGGGTTTATCATAATATTAAGGCAATCAGATTCGAACAAAGGCTTGATTTCAATAGAGGGGACATTTTTTTGGGACACCCTGTATATACCCACTCTATCTGTTTAATCCTATTTGCTTGCGCATTTAATTATTCGTTGATTTTTCCATATTAGTCTTAATTATTCCAAAATCATTCTATACTTTGAATTAATTGTCTATCGGAAGTTCGACAGCTGTTGACATTGTATCAAGTTTGCAAGCTTGCGTCATATTTTGCAGTCATTACTCTGTGTTGTGGTACGATTTACGAACATTTTTCCGACGAACGACCGAAGATGGAGGCAGACGCTGTGGCCTACGATAAGGTGTCCGTATCACAAGTCGAAGAAGGCGAAAGATTTATTCGCCAACTAAACCTTTCCAAGGGAGACAAAGTCCTTGATATGGGCTGTGGAACAGGCAAGCTCACTAAATACATCGCTGATATCGTTGGCCCTGATGGTGAGGCGGTTGGCGTTGATCCTGATGCTGCGAGAATTGAAATCGCAGTAGAAAAATATAAAGAATGCAGTAATCTACATTTTCATGTTGGGGATAGTGTGGCTGGGTTTCCACACGATGATCAACCGTATTACGACGTTCATCTCAGTACTTCTGCATTCCATTGGATTCCTAATGATCAGAAAATGATTTACATACAGAAAGCATATGAATGTTTAAAATCTGGAGGAAGGCTTGCTATCGGGGAAGCTATAACGAAAACGTTTGAAGTTAAAAAGGTTATCCCTGGCTTTTATTCTTTAACCAAAGAGGACTATCGTGATTTGTTTCAAGCGGTTGGTTTATTCAACAATGTCGCGATGAAGGGAAGTGTCTCGGTCTCTCCATTTCAAACATTTGAAGACTTTAAGCGATGGTACAGGGCTTCAACCCATCATAACTTTGAGGATATTGATCCAGTGTATGTTGACGAATATTTGACGAGAGAAAACGACGGGCGCACTACTTGGATTACGCCAATTATTATCATCAAAGCTTGTAAAGATTGAACGTTCATGGCTCTTGTAGAAAGAAATGCAATATTGAATACATCTGCTGCTGGTGTATCGGCATTTCCTCACTATTGAAACTCAAAGTTTCGACTGTCTGTTTACTAAGTGTTCACAAAGCAACCATTGTGTGATACATTGAAACTAATGTATAACACTTAATTTTTGATGTATTAAAGACTTTAGGCGTTTCATGATGAGTTGCGCAAAAGAGAAATTAAAGCCGGGTGAAAATTATTCCCTGAATTATTTAGTGAAAACCAAATTTTACTCATTTTCAACTATAGTGACATATTCCTATACTTACTGTTTTAACTTTTTTAACTATTTAATTATTCAATGTTTATCTCATATTACTCTTTAATTATTCCATGATCGCCCCACCCCTTTTCAGAGAATTATTTTGCATTCGACCTGTGCCTCTACTGGGCGTAGTAACTTTGAATAAAGACAGTTGTTGACATTGTGGAAACGTTCGAAGTTCGAACTCACATTGTATTATGTCAAGCATTACTTCGTTGTTGCGTACAAAAACACATTTCAAAAAACTAAGATACAGGCAGACGCTGTGGCCTACGATAAACTGTGCATATATCACTAGGTCGAAGAAGGTGGAATATTTATTTAAAATAATAAACAGTAACTCGAACAGCGCGTTACCTAAAACACAACAGTTCTCATGCACGTTGAGCTGTGGGTACTACAAGTTGAAACAGAGGAAATGTATTCGTGAATTATAATAGATACTCATTCATCATCATTATTCCATTATACTATACCATTATTCCAATATCTGTTCAATCTATTTGCGCATTTAATTATTACTTTATTTTTTTTTAAATTTTCGTTTTAATTTTCCATAATTATTCTACCCATCTCAGAAGCTTATATTTCACACGCTCCACCTTTGAATAAATTGTCTGTCGCAACACCGACAGATGTTTGCATAGCGATCTTAAAAGCTTGCATCACATTAAATAACTTGCAGTCATTCCTTTGTTTTGTGGTGCGATTTACGAACATATTTTCGACGAACGACCGAAGATGGAGGCAGACGCTGTGGCCTACGATAAGCTGTCCATATCACAAGTCGAAGAAGGTGCAAAATTTATCAACGAATTGAGTCTTGCCAAGGGAGACAAAGTCCTTGATATGGGCTGTGGAACAGGCATACTCACTAAATACATCGCTGATATCGTTGGTCCTGATGGCGAGGTGGTTGGCGTTGATCCGGATGCTGCGAGGATTAAAATCGCAGTTGAAAAATACAAAGAATGCAGTAATCTGCATTTTCATGCCAGTGATAGTGTGGCTGGGTTTCCACACGATGATCAACCGTATTACGACGCTCATGTCAGTACCTATGCATTTCAGTGGATTCCAAATGACGGGAAAGCGATTTACATTCAAAAAGCATATAAATGTTTAAAGTCTGGAGGAAAGCTTGCTATCTGTACTCCTGAAAAGATGTTAAATGATAATGAAAAAGATATGCAGAATTTCAATCCTTTAACCCCAGAGGGCTATCGTGATTTGTTTCAAGCGGTTGGTTTATTCAACGATGTTGCGATGAAGAGAATCGTCACACCATTTCGATTTGAATCATTTGAATTCTTCAAGCAATGGTGCAGAGCTTCAACGCATCAGAACTTGGAGGATTTAGATTCAGCGTATTTTGAGAGGTTCATCACGACAGAAGACGATGGGAAAGTGACATGGAACATACCAATTGTATACATCACAGCCTTTAAAGATTGAGTACATTCCTTGTATTAACGCTTGCATATTACTTCGTTTATTATTATATTATTAGTACTGATATATAGTAGATTTGGCCTTATTACTGCTGAAGAACTATACAGGGGCCGGTTGTATGAAAGCCGGATAGCGCTATCCACCGGATAGCGATTTTTTTCAACCGTTCTAAAAATGCTTGAAAAGCTATAAAATTTCAGCTTTGGAAACAACAATTATTACTGATAACCGTAACTAAGAACGTAAGCGTGTAGGTACACCACATAAATATTTAATACTGCAAAGCTTTTGGTCCGTGAACCCGGGCCTTCAACAGTGCAATTATTGCACTGGTGAAAGCTAAAAGCTTTGCAGTATTACATACTTACGTGTTGTATACCTACAAGCTAATATACTTATTTGATGTCACCATGCAAACGGACAAGACTATTATTGCAGCAATTTCTTAGCCTATATAATTACAACAAGTTGCTTGAAACTTGACGGTGTGTTCAATAAAAGCGTTCTAGTTGTTTAACTTTAAATAAATTTACATTGTATCACCGTCCTTCGATTGATTTTACCTTTTTAGTCTAGCGCCGTAAATTCTGTGGCAAAATGGGGTATGAACTTACTACTCGGATTTCGGGGAATGTGAAACAAGAAACCTTAAATAATAAACGGTAACTCGAACAGCGCGTTACCTAAAACACGCCGTATCTCACGATGAGCTGTGCGTACTATACAAGTTGAAGCAGAGAAAATGTATTCGTGAATTATGATAGATACTCATTCATTATCATTACCATTATACTACCCAATATTCCAATATCTATTCAATCTATTTCCGCATTTAATTATTCATTGATTTTTCTAAATTTTCGTTTTAATTTTCCATAATTATTCTACCCTTCTCGGAAGCTTATATTTCATACGCTCCACCCTTAAATTAAATAATAAATTGTATGTCGCAACACCGACAGATGTTTGCATAGCAAGATTAAAAGCTTGCATGACATTAAATCACTTGTAGTCATTACTCTGTATTGTGGTGCGATTTACGAACATATTTTCGACGAACGACCGAAGATGGAGGCAGACGCTGTGGCCTACGATAAGCTCTCCATATCACAAGTCGAAGAAGGTGCTAAATTTATCAACGAATTAAACCTTTCCAAGGGAGACAAAGTCCTTGATATGGGCTGTGGAACAGGCATACTCACTAAATATATCGCTGATATCGTTGGTCGTGATGGCGAGGTTGTTGGCGTTGATCCGGATGCTGCGAGAATTAAAATCGCAGTTGAAAAATACAAAGAATGCAGTAATCTGCATTTTCATGCCAGTGATAGTGTGGCTGGGTTTCCACACGATGATCAATCGTATTACGACGCTCATGTCAGTACTAATGCATTTCAGTGGACTCCAAATGACGGGAAGGTGATTCACATTCAAAAAGCATATTAATGTTTAAAGTCTGGAGGAAAGCTTGCTATCTGTTGTACTGAGAAGATGTTAAATGATAATGAAAAAGATATTCAGGATTTCCATCCTTTAACCCCAGAGGGCTATCGTGATTTGTTTCAAGCGGTTGGTTTATTCAACGATGTTGCGACGAAGAGTATCGTCACACCAGCTAAATATTTAATACTGCAAAGCTTTCGGTCCGTTAATCCGGGCCTTCAACAGCGCAATTATTGCACTGATGAAAGCTTTGCAGTATTAAATACTCACGTGATGTATCTACAAGCTAATAATACTTATTTGATGTCACCATGCAAAAGTACAAGAATATTATTGCAGCAACTTGTTGAAGCCAATATAATTACAAGTTGCTTGAAACTCGATAACAACTATATTTGTGTGGTCAAAAAAACCGTGTAGTGTTTAACTGTATTACAGTCCTTTTATTCGTTTTATCTTTCTAGTCTTGCGCTGCATATAAATTCTGTGACCATAAGTCCATAACCACTATTAATAGAAATAGGCCATAACTAAATGGCGTATAAAAATGTAGTGCACGAATTTCGTTTGAAAAAAATATGAAACAAGAAACCTTAAATAATAAACGGTAACTCGAACAGCGCGTTACCTAAAACACGCCGTTTCTCACGGTGAGCTGTGCATACTACAAGCTGAAGTGGAGGAAATTTATCCGTGAATTGTGATAGAGTATATCTGTTTAATCTATTTGCGCATTTAATTATTCGTTGATTTTCCATATTAGTCTTAATTATTCCAAAATAATTTTCCCATTCTCGGATACTTATATATGTTGTACGCTTGACCTTTGAATAAAATTGCCTTACGCAAGTTCGACAGCTGTTTACATTGTATCAAGATTGGAAGCTTGCGTCGTATTAAATTACTTGTAGTCATTACTCTGTATTGTGGGCGATTTACGAACATATTCTCGACGAACGACCGAAGATGGAGGCAGACGCTGTGGCTTACGATAAGCTGTCCATATCACAAGTTGAAAAAGGTGGAAAATTTATCAACGAATTGAGTCTCGCCAAGGGAGACAAAGTTCTTGATATGGGCTGTGGAACAGGCATACTCACTAAATATATCGCTGATATCGTTGGTCCTGATGGCGAGGTGGTTGGCGTTGATCCTGATGCTGCGAGAATTGAAATCGCAGTTGAAAAATACAAAGAAAGTGGTAATCTACATTTTCATGTCAGTGATAGTGTGGCTGGGTTTCCAAACGATGATCAACCGTATTACGACGTTCATGTCAGTACCTATGTATTTCATTGGATTCCAAATGACGGGAAAGTGATTTACATTCAAAAAGCATATAAATGTTTAAAGTCTGGAGGAAAGCTTGCTATCTGTTGTCCTGAGAAGATGTTAAAAGATAATGAAAAAGATATTCAGGATTTCCATGCTTTAACCGCAGAGGGCTGCCGTGATTTATTTCAAGCGGTTGGTTTATTCAACAATGTCGTGATAAAGACAATTATCACACCATTTCGATTTGAATCATTTGAATACTTCAGGCAATGGTACAGAGCTACTGCGCATCAGAACTTGGAGGATTTAGATTCAGCGTATTTTGAGAGGTTCATCACGACAGAAAACGATGGGAAAGTGACATGGAACATACCAATTACAAACATCACAGCCTTTAAAGATTGAGTACGTTCCTCGTATTAACGCTTTGCATATTACAATAGTTTATTATTATTATATATTATAAATGCTGATAAATATCGTAGATTTGGCCTTATTATACTGCTGTGAAGAGCTGTCATGCAATATATATTACACAGCTAAAACGTTCAATTTGTTCCCGGTTGCTGAAACAATGCCTGCTTGTTAAGTTCGGCCAATTAAGTAAATTAGCGTGTATAGGTACACCACGTAAATATTTAATACTAGTTGTTAAACCGGGCCTTCAACAGCGCAATTATTGCACTTGGTGTACCTGCAAGCTACTATACTTATTTGATGTCACCATGCAAAAGTACAAGAATATTATTGCAGCAACTTGTTGAAGCCTATATAATTACAAGTTGCTTGAAACTCGATAACAACTATATTTGTGAGGTAAAAAAAAACGTATAGTGTTTAACTGTATTACACTCCTGTTATTCGTTTTATCTTTCTATTCTTTCGCTATTACCGTCCTTTTATTGGAAATAGCGTATTAACTTATTACTCGAATTTCGTTAGAGAAAATGTGAAACAATTAAGAACCCCCGCGCGTTGTATAAAACAGACTACTTCTCACGTTGAGCTGTGCATACTGCAAGTTGAAGTGCAGGAAATTTATTTCGTGAATTATGATAAATACTCTTTCATTATCATTACATTATCATACAAACTTGCTGATTGGTCTGAAACGAAATCCCTCCTTGTTACTCTCTATAGCAACCTTAAGCAGCTATTTACGTTAGTGAAACAATATCCCTCACATTGTATTAAATCGTGCATCACCTTGTTTCGTACAAAACAAACATGCACATTTCTAGAAAGCGAAGATGGAGGCAGGCGCTGTGGCCAACGATAAGCTGCTCATATATCACAAGTTGAAGTGGGAGAGGAATTTATTCGCCATTTAAACCTTTCCAAGGCAAACAAAGTCCTTGATATGGGAATACTCACGAAATATATCGCTGATATTGCTGGCCCTGACGGCGAGGCGCTTGGCGTTGATCCGGATGCTGCCAGAATTAAAAATCGCAGTTGAGAATATAAAGAAAGTAGTAATCTACATTTTCATGTTGGTGATAGTGTTGCTGGGTTTTCATATACGATGATCAACCATATTATGATGCCTATATCAGCACTAATGTAATCCATTGGGTACCCAACGACAAGAAAATAATTTACATACAAAAGCATACAAATGCTTAAGTCTGAAGGAAAGCTTGCTATCTCCTGTGGCGAGAACGTGACGTTGAATGATGTTAAAAAATACATCAGTGATTTCTATCAGTTAAACGAAGAGATATATCGTGATTTGTTTCGAGCGGTCGATCTTTTCAACACTATCGTATTAAACAAAATTTCCTCGCAATTTCCGTTCCAGTCATTTGAAGAGTTCAAGCATTAGCGCAGGGCTTCAAACCATCAGAACCTGGAGGATTTAGATCCATCATATTCTAAAAAATGTGTTACCACAGGTAGCGATAGACGAGTTACTTGAGACATACCAAATATTTTCATAACAACCCTTGACTATGGGTCAGGGTAAAACGCGGATACGGACAGACGGACGGATAGCGACGGACGGACGGACGGACGGACGGATAACTTACTTTTCAATAAAACAAATTTTAAACGTCATATCCGCGTTTTACCCAATCGGGTAAAACGCGGATATGGTATAAAATAGGCTTTTCGGGCGTTTAAAAGTCATATCTGCGTTTTACCCAATCGGGTAAAACGCGGATATGGTATAAAATAGGCTTTTTGGGTATTTAAAAGTCATATCCGCGTTTTACCCGTTTTGTTATTAAGGTGTTCTGAATTTAAAATTTGGCTATGTAATTTATTCTGACTACCCCTAGATCCGCCACTGATACCAGCTGATATCGCTCATATACGACTCCAGCTCATCGTTAAATTGTTAAATAGGCATTTACTAATATATTTAGACTGATTTACTAATGTACTAATATACATTTTCATTTAGGCCCCAGTCCTTGGCTTGGGCGGTTCGAAAGTTATCCCCAGGCAAGGGCGCCGCACCAAGTCCGCCGCCTGTTTTTACTGCTGAGAAAACGAAGAACACCGTGAGAAGCTTGGAGTTTGCAGCTGACGGAGAAACGGATAACAATATCATATCTTGGGCAGACCGAGTCAAGGGTAAAACAGCGGCTCCCACTGACACTATGACGAATGTACAGGTTAGATGAAGTAAAAAAGACGTAAAATTGACTCAAAAAAGTCTATTATAATGGATAGCGAGTAGCACAGCCAATCAAAATTCAAAATTAAGCTTTTACTCTCATCAGAAATAAAATGCAGGAAAAATGCTTGTTACCCTTGTGATAGGAACTCATATAATAAAATTTTTGGTGCAAACCCAACCATGAAAAGATGAACGTTACTTCAAGAGCAGAAAAATCCAGTTCAAATTGCACCAAAACGTGGGCAATTTTAGAGCGATTCAAAAACCCACTCCGGTGGGCAGCGCTATCCATGCAGTCTTTGTACAACCGGTCTCCAAATCCTGCTCATTTGTTCTTGTGTGGGATAAGGTTAACTTTTTTCTGTTTTCATTACAGGCAGACACGCCTGAACGGGCGAATAAAGTGCAATGCGTTGTGGAACGAAATGGCTTTGTTGCGATACGTGAAGACAACTTAAAGCCCGAGGAAGTGGAAGAGGGTTGGGAGACTGTTTGCTACAATAAGAAAAACAGAACGCCCGAGAAATGTGGTGGAGAAAGTAGCGAAGCACGTGAGATTTCCCATGATCGCGTCGCGGTGCCAAAAGTCAAGCGACTTGTTACGGCGAACGGCGATGTTCAGCTTGTGTCGAAGCGAACAAATCCGGAGAAAGACAATGGCTTAATCGGCGAAATTGGAGTTTCGGTTGTCGACCAAGGTTCAGGAGTTGTTGAATGTGGCAAGCCTGTTGAGAAAGAAAGTGATGTTTCAACACACGAGCAACAAGCGTTGGATGGGAATAAAGAGACAATCGATGCTGGGAAAAGCTCGCCAATTATTCGACGAGAATCTATCGAGGATGAGAAGTTTGTTGATTTGAATGAAAATAGGTAAGATTTACATATTCTCGTTCGACAGCACTAATATGGCAATTAAGAGGGTTTTTGAGTGGAATGGAGTTTTTTATACATTGGTTCTAAGAACAACTATGAAATTCTCATAATCCCCAAGTACGTTTCAAAAATATAGTTAATGTAAGAAAGAAAATGTTCGCTAAACTTGTCTTCTAAAATGTCGGGGTTGCCTTCTGCCACCTTAAAACAATAATTATAACCATCAATATTCTAGCTTTTTGGTAAATTAGGGAAGCTAAAGTCATTCTTTTCAAGGTCATTCCACATTGTCTACTTTTTAAGCATCCTGCATCAGTCTTTGGAACCAATGAGTAATTTTATTTAGAGTTCGTTTGTATAACTTGCTTTTTCCAGGTCTATGGAAGACTCATCTGTCGATGTAGAAAAAAGCGATAAATTTGAAACCTTAAAAGGATTCCTGAGCCCGCTCAACGTCGACTCCGATGTCGACACCGACAACGAGGATGGTTTAACTGCGTCGGATGTCGAACATCAAAAGGCGCTGTCGGCCGCCATCGAACAAGAGGCAGATCTTTCGAAAGAATACGAGAAAGAAAGAGAAATATTCCTGGCTTCCGCCATCGAACACAAGGAGAAGCTCGCGAAGGAGATAGCGGATCAGGAAGCCTTCGTAAATGCAATGAAAGAAGAGGCGGAGGACGATGAGGAAATGGCTGAACTGGCAGACGTAAATGATGAAAGCAAAGGCGAGAAATGTGATGAAGAAAAGGTTAGTTTTTTTAGAAAACTTAGAAATATTCAGTTAGTCATGTTTCCTGTTTTCCAATCAACGTGTCTGCTTTTTTTCGTTTAACAAATTAAAACTGCTTTCTAGGGAAACTATTTTAGTAAATTTGCCACTGGTAGCAATGTTATTGTATTGCCTAAAAATGCAAATCACTGTCTTTGTCAGAGCAGAGAGCATGCCAACAAATCACCACAAATAGTTAGAAACAGCAGTGTTATTATTTAGAGTGTAATGCTTGTTTCGAGAAAATGCGTCAACCTATAAACCCAGCGAACTAACGAAAGGAAGCTAAGCACGCATTCATTTTTTTGTTTTGTTTTAGAATCCTCAAGAATCTTCTACAAAGGAGTTGACCTGGGAAGAGATGATTGCCGAATATGACGGTAAGAGATTCGTTGTCTTTGCACATGTAGATCACAACAAATCACAAGATTTAACCTACTTCTGCATGCCTCGCAGCCTAAAAGAGTGGATTTAAGGGGACAATAGATGAGAAATTAGGGTATTTAGGGTTACCCTGTCCCGGGTATGTAATATAGGAAGTGAGCCTGGAGAAAGTGAGATCCGCACGTTGTGAAAAACACTGGGGATAGTGATAAACGTTTTGCCAGCGCATATGTTGTTCAGGACGTAGTATCAGAACGTCTCTATTAAGGTTCCATTTCTCAGTAATGATCGTCGATAATTCCAATCCAACATTTTGCATGCATGTACCTTTAACTCCCCTTTATGCACTTTGTTCTTTTGGCATCCTTTGTAGAAAAAAACAAGCGAGAAGGGTCCCCCAGTTGGGGAGATATTGTCGAGATGTCAGAGAGTAGACCGCCTGGACGAGCAGTTCAAATGCACAAAAAGTTATCATCTCCATCACGAAAAAGGTTTGCTTTCACTTGGCCCTAAAACATGATAATCATAGTAATTGCAATGATTGCTATCGCTTCCTAAACGCGAGCACTTCATATTTTCAGAGATCTTACCGACGGCGTTAAAAAACAAGCCGAGAAACAGGTTTGTCGTGTACATACAATACAGTCTCACTTATGGATTATTTTAACTGTGCACTTTTTTCGATTTTTCAAATGAACTTGTATGTAGATGGTTGGTTAGAGAGGATTTGTATCGTTGTGCACTTAAAATCAACAAATTTTTATCAACAGTTGTATAATGATTATAAATGTTTTCAGGCAAAAGCTCAACAGCTTAGAGAACAACTTCTTGATGACAAACTTCAACATTTACAGACACTTTCTGAGAAGGTTTGTTCACTTATCGCGAAGATTTTTTCTAATTGCATCGCCTCAGAGAAGATTCAGCCTTTGACATGGACTTTTTTAACATATTCCCAGGTTGAGAAAGCCCGCGAACTAAAGATGATCCTGATTGTTGAACAAGAACTTCATTTGAAAGAAAAACAGCGTCGCGCTGAGGAAAAACGTAAAATCAAGTTGAATGAGAAAGTTCGAAAGGCCCAGGAGGAAGAGGCGAAGGTATTGAAAATTGAAATGCCAACGAAACTCTGGGGAGGAACGAAACCTTGGTTCAAACCTTGGTTGGTCATTTGCATGGTTAAAAATATGCCAGTATCTATATATTTAGGGGATCTATCTTTTTAACAATTCTATTAGCCGTCATAAACAAGGTAAACTTACAAGTGATCTGTTAATCCAGAACCGCTATATTTATTGCCTTATTATTAAACCTAAAAACTGGAGGAGAATGCATTGCAAGTTGAAGAGTGAGCAAGCGATATCAAACTTCATACAGCAAATAATCATGTTTTTAAGGTGAATGAAATTGCATTTATTAACACATTGGAGGCGCAGAATAAGAAAATGGAAGTCATGTCAAGGCACCAGGTATTTATACCCCACCTATTCCCCATATACCCACCACTCACCCACATAAACACCTACCCTTTCGTATTTAAGCAACACCACATTCGTACATACTCTCTCGCTTAGCCCCATCTGCACATATACCCCACTCATCTGCAATATGCATATATTTATTCGTATGATTTCTTTCAGGACCACGAAGCCCGGTTACAAGATCTTCAAGAGGAGAGGCAAAGAAAACGAGACGAACAACAAGCGAAAGAAACAGCCGCTTATGTAAGCATTGCACAATCATATATTGAAGTCTGTGATGACTGTCTACTCTTTAAGGAATAGTTTCGACCCTTATTAAATTCACAGTGTTTTTACTTTATCACTGAATAAGCTGGGTAGTTTCTTCTACCTGCATTGCAAGATGACCTCACGACAACGTCTCTGCCTGACAAGTTGTTTGTGGTATTGAAGTTTCTTTCGCATATAGGAACGACGAAAGCAACTCGAAGCAGAGAGGCAAGCAAGACTTGAAGAAATGAAACAGAAGAGGCAAGATCAGGTATGCAATCCACATAAGAAGCATTTTCATAACCGTACATAATTTCGACGTTACGGTTTGCAGAAGTTCATCGTTGTCTTTCTCACCTCAGAAACCCAGGTTTTCGTCCAATCTGGCTTCAGAAAGCAATCCAGACAGTTTGCCTTTAGCTTAATCAGAATAAGATTTCTATTGTCTCCTTGGCAGTTTATCTAGCACAATGTCTCCACCATCAAATTTTGCGTCCTGGTGTTTATTCATGAGTATCTTGAGTATACAAATTTTTGGAATGTGTTACATTCTCTCATATATCCCGCCATTTTAGGAAGCAAAATTTCTCCGTGAAAAACAGGAGAAAGAAAAGGCGAGGGAAGAAGCAGCGAAAGAGAAAGCAAGGTATTGTATTTCTTATCTTGTCCAGTCACTACACTGCATTGCCTATATACAAGTTAGGGAAATTCTTTTCCGTGCTTCAATTCAACAAGAAGGAAGTTTTCAGTAACGGTGATATAAGATTCTTTCATTTGGTATTTCGATAGCATAATACGCACGATTTCAAAATCGTACTTTTTGCAAAGCACGTGTGCCGTAGCTGTTGACGTTGCAACCATTATCATCTTTCTAATATCCATAACGTACGTATGAATGGCTCGACAACCTGCCGTCATCTTAGATGACACACCTGTCCCCAGAATGATACAAATATTAACGTGTATAACACTTGAATGAACATCGTGTTTGTCATACAGGGAACGTGAGCAACGTCTTGCAGCGAGAAACGAAGCACTGCAAACCGCTGCTGAGCAACTTCAGCTGAAGATTAAACAAAAGGTAACCACTTCAGTGATGGACACCCTACACGTCTTTGCATTGTTCAATTCTTCTATCTTGTGACCAGAGCCCAAAAAAGGAATATTTCTCTACCCAACTAATGGTCGTACCATGTTGTTCTTCGCATACTCGTGATTAATGCAAATTCGCCGTATTGTACCTTCTGTATATAATAAGGGAGTAATCCAGTAGCAACTTCTCGGGCAGAGCACAAAAAGTAATGCCTACCCAACTAATGTTCGTTCCATCATTGTTGTTTTCCACTTTTTTAGTCATTAATGCAAACATACGCCGTATTTTACCTTCTGTATAATAAAATATAATGAACCAAATTCATTAGCAACATTTAGAATGTATAACCTCATCTTTTCTGTCATCGCAAAGATATCTTAGCTTAAATGTGGTCGCATTTCACGGTCTTCTAATGTTTTACCGTTTTTCATAGCAACAAGACTCCACGAAACGTCATGAACAAATCTTAGAACTTGTCAAAGAGAAAGTAAGATATTTCTAATATTTCACGGCCTCTCTTCCTGTTTAAATAAATTGCAAAGTGCCGTCAGTTCATGTTGTCAGGGGCTGTTGTAAGGCTTAAACTGATTTATTCTGCCATGGTTTTGACAAACAAACGTTTTTAGGCCGCAGGAGCATCACGACATTCCACTCAAGATGAGCTGCCTACCGTCACGCCATATGAAAGAAAGAAAATTTGCACATTGTGCAATGTTCAGGTATACTTAGGTTGCCTATCTTCTTCAAACTTCTAGTTGCTTGCTCGAAAATTTAACTCAGCCATTCAGGTGACGAGGTCCAGATTGAAGAGTTGTGTCCTTGCTAGAATGCGCCTGTATGTTCCAAACAGGTGCCCATGTTATTAAATTAAGATGAGAATTTCTATGAGAATTTCTATATGTAAGAGATGTCCATATTAGAGACATGTCTGTATAACGGAGTTATATCTGATAGAGATGAGAGATATCCATATTAGAGATTGCCATATTACAGAAATCTCCATATTAAAGAGATGTCCATTTCAGAAAGATTCCCATATTAGAGGCCAGAGGGATGTCCTTATTAGGAAGACCCCCATATATATTAGAAAGATTTCCATATATATTAAAGTAATGTCCATATTGGAGAGATGACCACGATGGAGAGATTCCCATATTAAAGAGAAGTCCATGTTACATAGATCTCCCAATAGAATGTTGTCATTATTGGAGAGATGGCAACAATAGAAACTTGTAATATGCATATGCATCTTAAAACATTGTCCGTTTTTGAACACAGATTGTGTCGGAAGTGTATTTGGTGAGTCATCTACGTGGCAAGAAGCATCAACTGGCACTGGAAGAAACCCAGAAAGGAAAGAAAACCGAAGACAACGTAAGTTTGTGAGGCTTTCAGCTGCACACAAGGAATTGGATTTGGAATTTGGTCTCCTTCACAACATAACACCAGCACCAGGATTGTATTAAAACTTATCATGTATCAGAACAGTGTATTTGAGTATATTTCCGAACTCTCATTCCAATGTTACCCACAGAAGAACCTCAAAATTGTTATTAAATGGTCACGAATTGGTAAAAAGTGTACAGCTTCGTCTTTCTACTTTTCAGGAGACGATATCACTGCAGTATATCAAGGATATTGGACTAGACAGGATTGACGACAATGCTAAAGCCAGTGAAGAAAGAAAGTCCGCGTTTAAAAAACGAGCGAAGAAAATTCGAACAAGAATGGCTGCGCGGTAAGGCTCTTAATTGAAGCAAAGTATCATCTTTCAAACCCTTTTCAAATATCAACGAACCTCATCATAGTAACCATTAGCATTTTCAATTTCCAAAAGATTTACTTAGATCGCTCCTTCAACACCATTAAAAAACACAGTAACAACCAATGTGAATGGTTAGATTTTGACGTTTTAATAACTGATAAAGTGACAGCGTTAAGGTTTAATTTGGCCTAAAATTACCTTGGAAACAGTAATAATTTATAACCTCTTACGAATATTGACTTCTGGATGATTGATACACCATTAGGTATTTAACACAAAGTCATTGAAATTGATTGAGGTATGACGTTCTTTCTACCTCCACGTTTTTCGGCCACTTTAGGGGAAGAGAGTACGAAGCAACTCTTAGTAGTGTCTCGAAACCACAAGAATCAAGCAAGAAATCAAAGTATGTGACAAACGTTCTATTAATTAATTTATTTATTGATTGTTGGGTTGTATTAGAACATGTTGTGGACGCGATAATTGAGCTGGTGATGTCAATGTAATTCCAGGCTTCAAAAAGTAATCAAGGATCTAGACAGATATTTAAAGACGCAAAGCACTGGTCCATGGGCTGCCAATAGAGTTGCAGCATTGGAACGTTCACTTGGAGAGCTTTCTCGAATGTTAGAAGGGAAGGTATGGTTAGTGAGATGTCCGTAATTATGAAGAAATGTCAATATTAGAGAGATGACCACGTTTTAGAGATGCTCGTTTTATGCTCGTGTGAGATATTGTTATATTAGAGAGATAATCGTATTAGAGAAGTGTACATATTGGATTAAATGGATTTTAGATTGGTACCCTTGATAGTGACCGGTTTAGAAAAATGTCCATATTAGAGAGATGCCCATACTAGAGAGGTGCCCATATTAGAGAAATGCCCATATTAGAGAAGCCCGTGTTACATAGATGTCTTAATAGAGTGTTGTCTATCACTATATTAGAGAGTTAATCGTATTAGAGAAGTGTATATATTAGATTGAATGGGTCTTAGATTCGTATCCTTGATGGTGACCGGTTTAGAAAGATGTCCATACTTAAGAGAACGATATTAGAGAACTGACAATTTTAGGAGATGTCCATATTAAAAGGCTGCCTATAGTACAGAGATGACTATATTAGAGAGATGCTCATATTAGAGAGATGCCCATTTTAGAGAGATGCCCATATTAGAGAGATGCCCATATTAGAGAGATGCCCATATTAGAGAGATGCCCATATTAGAGAGATGACCATATTAGAGAGATGCCCGTATTAGAGAGATTACCATATTAGAGAGATGCCCATATTAGAGATATGACCATATTAGAGATATGACCATATAAGAAAAATGACCATATTAGATATATGACCATATTAGAAAAATGACCATATTAGAGAGATGACCATATTAGAGAGAAGTCCGTGTTTCATAGATGTCTTAATAGAGTGTTGTCTATCACTATATAAGGAAATGTCGACATTGGGAGTGGCTATTATAGAAATGTTCATACTAGAGAAGAGCCTTAATATATTGGTTTTATATTAAGGTTACCGCTGACCAAGTTACTTTCTGTTATCTTGGTGGATTGTCTACGCTATCTCGGATATTACTCCTCATTGAAGCGACCTCGGATACACAGAAATCATTCTTACCTGCCAAGTAAGTCGATCATTTGGGTCAAAAAGAAAAATTCTGTAACAGGTAATGACATAATGGACAAGGCAACCCAATCTATTTCATGTCGAACACCGTAATCATCATGATAAATGAGACTAAAAAATGCCTTTTCAACGTTCAAGCAAATGCAGTGGACTCCATGTAAACTAGCACGATAACATTTACTAGTGACCGCTCAATAACTTTCTGCTAGAAGAGACTCTGAATACATTATTTTGCAAAAATAACATCCCATTTTCTGCTTTGTAAGTACCGAAATATAATTTCTGGAAATGTTGCTTTCCAATTCCTAGAACGTTATGCAACGTTATTTCTGTGATGACGCTGGCCTGTGCTGGTTGTTCAGAAAACTGCTGGTATCTTTTGCTAAGCAACAAATTGTCGACTGTGGTAGATCTGTTAGCCCACCAACTCTCGGTAAGTCGAAGTGTATGTTGACGTGTTTTCCCGTCCTAAACTCCTTATTTTTGAGATTGTGCGTTACAACCTCGCTTCCGATACTAGGGACCTTTAGCAGTGACCACGAGTACGACTACGAGTACGAGATTCGTCATTCTCGCACGTTGTTTGCTAACGCCATCAGCCAAAACTCGTAGTCGTTGGGCTTTTGAGTATGAAATTTATCAAAAAACTCGTACTCAAAAGCCCAACGACTACGAGTTTTGGCTGATGGCGTAAGCAAACAACGTGCGAGAATGACGAATCACGTACTCGTAGTCACTGCTAAAGCTCTCTCTTCCACTACCGAGGCCCATTGATTTCATGCGCGCTTTTTTCAAAAAAATGAGGTATATAGTGCTGGGTACAAACCTTATTAGTAGTGGAAATACACTGAATATAAGAGTGTTTTTCCATGTAACTTATATATGCGGAGCATAATTTGGTCGACTATCTCGGCAAGAAAATGCAATAAGTCAACACAGTCAGAAAGAGCTTACTCATCAACAAAGTTTGGTTTCCGAATGTTTTAAGACACGGAAAATAACCTTGCGAAGTTGACAAATTTTGCATACTTTTTCGGGATAATTGCTGCCATTTTTTGTCCTCATTTGGTGAAAATTTTTGCGTGGAATATCAAAGTATACAAAATATTTACTTACCAATATTTTCCTTGCTTGAAATAAACAAACTTTGCAATTCTACTACTCAATTTACTATATTAGCCCATTAAAGCGTAAATTTTCATCATGCTATTACCTGACAGAGCTTCAGCCAATTAATTATCAATGACTAATCAATCTACTGCTTTATTTTCTCATTAACGCTGTAAATAAATTTTCATCATAGCATTACCTGAGCTTCAGCAACACTCACCATATTTTATAGGCTTTATGTACTTCCATTGCTGAGAAGAAAAACGGCGAAAAGGACACAAATCGTTCCTCAGATTCATTCTTGGTCAATCTGCAACGTTTATTATCAACGGTCGTTTACAATTTGGTAAAACAGGAAAACAAAGACATAACATGTTCCCCTGCTGGCCTTGATCAAAATGTGGCTTCTCAACGAGTTTCTGACCTGGTCAGGTAATCACCATTCATTTTATCTTTTGATTAAGGAGTTTTGTGATGCAGTGATCAGAACCATGTCTTCATATCTGTGTTATAATAACCTCGTCTGTTAGATTCGTGACAGGAAATCGCGTGAATTAATGCAAACACGAGCTTGCTAAGGAACACTAGGAGGATGTTGACTTTATATAAAATATTAGAAATAACTATCAGGACCGAAACTAGAACGATAATTCGGGGGGGGGGTGTTTATTCATATATTCAGTTCTGCCGGACTGATTTCATTTGTAAGCTACTGCATTTACAAACGAAATTCGTCGGGCAGAACCGATATATGAATAAACATACCCCATAAACTAGAACGATAATTCGGGGGGGGGGTGTTTATTCATATATTCAGTTCTGCCGGACTGATTTCATTTGTAAGCTACTGCATTTACAAACGAAATTCGTCGGGCAGAACCGATATATGAATAAACATACCCCATCACCCCCCCCCCCCAATTATCGTTCTTGTTTCGGTCCTTATAACTATATCTATCCAGGGTTATTGAGTTAACCTCGGAATTAACTACAATTTAATTGCAAAATGCAAAACGAATGGTTAAAACCTTGCTTTAATATAGCTATATGATGGTTTTATACAGGCGTGCCGTGACCAAATTGCAACATAATAGTACTAATATCCTAACTTAAAGCCAATAAAGGTGGGCCACAGTCAAGCGTAATGTAAACCAACGCTTTATTTACATTTTGAATCACATATCTCTTGAAATACCAAGACAAGAACCGTCAGAATATTCAACACTATTTAGTAAATGTAGTTAATAACTAAATAGCAAATACAGACAAATTAATCCCAGTAAAATATAAAACACTGAAGTCTTAACAATAACAACACGAGATGTATTAAACTCGCCCGATATAATCTATATTTTTATTACAATATAACACAATATCTCGTAAATCTCTCACGCAAATGTAAATTATACGGTTGCAAGACACTATTCTATCATGTTTTTATGGTGGAAAAACAATATTTCGTTTATTATACGTTTGGATTGAGGCAAACTGACACAGACTTACAGTAACAAAATTACATTGCACGAAACTACGAAATTTCACAAACAAAATAGCACTTAAATCCTTACCGTTGCTTGATGTAAAAGGGTATTTTGAAGACCCCAGTATCGTGAATCGATTCCAGTTGTTTTTACGCTTCGCTTTCCTCTGCAACAGTTATTAAATCGTGTAAATTTGTCTTCAATATTTGACCGTTGCCGTTGAGGAAGCCATGTGCAATCGTCAACAGCACTTTTCCCGCCATATTCCGTGTGTCGCTCATTGAACTCTATACCAAAACTGGAGCAATAACTCCATTAAAAAAGTCTTTCAAAATGATTGCATGAAGCGGTTTTGGATGAAAATACGACGAATGATCGTTTTAGATTAGATGAATTTATTCATTTTCGAAAACACGGTTTTGCCTAAGGAGATAAACTATTATTACTGTAATTCAGAAGGGGTTTTTTAATCGTAAACAGGGCAGAGGAAGATTTAATTCAGTGTTGGATGGAATGCATTTCAGCCCGATAATTCTATGTTCATTGTTCCGCAAAATACACCTTAATACCCCATAAAGTCGTCATATATTGATATAATATATCATAGCTATTATGTTGTGGTGATGTCACTGCCATAGGAAGTAGGGAAAAAATACTTAAAAATATTCTATCACTTCTTTATAGTTACATTGTCTGCAGTGGTATCGTTGACAATCTAGAGACATGCTTTAATTGTATTGGTGGACCTAATGATAACGATCAAGTTACAGCGTGTTTTGTCACAGAATCTTTGGAGACGTTATGTTCTATTGCCAGATATTATTCCTTCAGGTAAGGAAAGGCCGCACCTACGATTGCGCGCGCATTCAATCCTCATCGAAAGGATGTAAACAAGTGATGAACGTGTGGAAATGATGAAAGTGTAACTTCTAAAGTCAACTGGTGTAAAGTTGCTGCTTGAAAGAGTGGCACTCTTCTCTACACCATCAACTGACTTTTGACGATACCATCATATACAGTTTAGCTGTCACCTCACTTCATACTGTACTTACCTATTAAACTGTACCATATACTGGGTACATTTTTCTATTATGCACATTCCGTTACTACGCCTCGTAATCCAGTTCCCCTCCACGTCTCAAATCCTAGTCAAGCAAGCTACTAAATACAAGTCTTTTCAACATCATTTAATTTTTACGTCATAGGTTAAACGATGTTTTCAATGACAAACGAGATGACGCCAGTCAGTTCATGATCACAGTCAAACACACTGGTTTAGTGGGTAAGTAATACTGTAATAGATTCGACATAGTACAACATAGTTTTTTATGTCTAGTATATTGCATTTATTTTTTCTCTAATCAGGCGTCATCAGTTTGCTGTATGCTGTGTTGCTCAGAGACGGCTTGAAAGTTCCTTCGAAGATTCCTGAGCAGTTGAGCGATGAAATGGACACCATGGCAACAAGGGGGTTGCGTTTTTTGAATTTCTTAGCGACGGCAGATCTCGCACTTGTGCAGGTGAGAATATTTCCAAGCACTTATAATGCAAATTACAATTTCCACCAGTTTTCTTTACTTCTTCCACCGAAGACTGAGGGTTTTCAGGGGCGCGGGGTCGTCAGGAAAAGATGTGTGTTCAAACTTACCTATATAGGCAAAGGTATTTCTTTACGAGATATTGATGTTTCCGAGGTGAATTTGTTTCCGACAGCACTTTGAGCAACATGGTATAGATAGTTCTAAAACGTTTTTCGAAGAAAATGCGTTTACCAACACGGCAGCAAACATCAACATTTCTCGTATATCATTCCTTTTCGATGAGCGTGTGTGATATTTCTTTTATCCAGAGCTCTCTCGCTTGTGAAGGCGTTTCATTACAGTTCAGACACATCGTTGGTCATACGTTAAGGTAATCACGTCACGTCGGTCACGACCAACTTAAAAGGTTTTATTTTAAACAAAAACTGTCATCTCGTTTACAAACTTCATACGTGCTTTTCATATTCATCAAAGACAACTATGTATTCCGTTTTTAGGATATGCTCGACTGAAAATAATTATGAATTATTACACGAAGTGATTCTTATCATTGGATATTTCACCGTTCTTAATCCAGATAATCAGGTTTGAAATATTTCGGCGATAACACCGCAGTGTATAAAGCCTGATTTTTAGATGCTGTCCGATGTTCACCAAATCAACGTGCTATTCCTATATTTAGGTCTTTGTTCAGTCAGGAAGACCACCAACGCTACTTCAAAAGTTGTGCTCCCTTCCTTTCCAATATTTTAGCAATCCAAGGTGAGCATATAAATAAGAATAATAAAATAATAATAAAAATAATAAAAAATACATGCTGTTATTAAAAAACAAAAAAAAACCCGTAACACTGTTGATTCTGTTGATTAAAATTTTAGCTATACTATCATTTTATAAGTTTCTTAAAACTCCCTGGGTTTGTGACAATCGGGCAAATAGGAAACTCTTGCCACGCAAGAGACCTACTAACTTGTTCATAACTGTAAATACCTCTAGGTTGATATTGATTTTTTGAATTTATGTTTTGGGGTCATTGTAAAGTAGCTATTTATATGTCTGTTTGTCAATAGATTGCGAAATATATTGTTTCCTACGCTGATTTGCTCGTGTTATCAAAACGAACAGAATAAAGATATTTTAGAACAAGAAGTCAGCTGTGCGTTGTTGAATAATTACCTGGAAGTACGTAAATGCTTTGTGTAATCACGTGAATTTCCGCCATTTTGTGCTAAGAATCTTATTTTCACTTTTAAATCCTTTTCTAGGATCAAAGTTTAGATTTTCAACAAGAGAAGTTGAGTAATAATTCACAACCATCTCTTGGTAAGACCCGTTTGTCGTTAGTAAACAGGGCATTTTACGCCCCCAATGACAAACTCGTTAAGAATCTTTTACAGCTATTTATAATAATAAAAAAACAACCATACCAGCCAAACCTTGCAAAATTATTGTAAATCCACCTGTCAACAACAACACCAGAGTAGACTAAGGCATATATGCTAACTATAGGTCAACTAGTATGGTTTAATTTATTAGCTTGCTTTCAAATGACTTGTGGTAATCGCGTAATTCTTTAAGGTCAGTTCATGTGTGTTTGTTCTGCAGACGAGATGTCGAGAAGAATATTATTGTCCCGTCGTTTCCCCGTCAAACACTGGAAGGAAGCTCAGGAATTTTTACAAAGTCCCAACAAGAAATAACAGATGCATGCTGAGATATGATATTTTATAATAAGATATTTGTATATTTAACATAATTGATATTTATATATTGCACTCTTTCGTTTAATGTTTGTTACATTGTGTTTTAGAGAATATTTGCTGGTATCAGTGTGATCTAATACAATTTTGAGTGGTTCTGCTGTATATTCCAGTTCCGGCACTTTTTTCAATACCAGAGATTTTCAGTTGGGTTATCACGGTATTGATTTCCTCAATAACAGCACCAATGCAGATCACCGAAATACGGTATATCCCAAAACATGTGTAAAACTGCTTTGGATAAAACTGGATGTGTGCATGAAAGGAAGCCTGCGTTTCCTAGTTTAGTTTCTTCCCAGCTCGCCGACTCATTTTGAATAGGTATAACGTCGTCCTCGTTCCCAGGTTTTTTAGACGAGGGTGGTATCAAGTATAATAAATAGGTATAAAAAACCATGACTTGGCGTGGAATGATTTTAAAGTTAATGATCGTTATGCCTGAGTCCTTCTGCCCTAAATAGGGATGGCGGAAGCTATTTGCCAAAAGAATATATATATCTCAATGGCAGAAGATGTCGTCTTAAGAATAAATAAGGATCAATGTTTCAATCAGATCACCACCCCGACTGGAGTGCCGAAACTTTGGGTCGTGAATGTAATCTGGGGGTGATACTTCATTCTTTAAAACCAGAGAAATGATAACGTGTAAAGTATTGAAAATTTTTTTTTTTTTCAATTTTGGACATATTTATTGATATTTTAGGAACAAAAGATCCGTCAATAAAACAAATTAATTTCCCCCTTACTATTATTTAGCATTTCATAATTTCAAAAATTGTTCATCAGAATCAGACACACGCATGCATGGATATTGTTAAAATGTATTAATTTCCTTTGTAGCGCCAAATCACGATGTTAGTATAGTGAGAATAATCACTACCCCAAGACCAGCTATTTTTTCCAACATCTTTCCAGTTGGCCGACACTGTTGTATCACAAGCAACGTGTGCCAGGCTATACTATTGTATTTTAAACAACAAGCTCGAGAAAGAGATATTTTATGTTAAATTTTTTGTGCTATTATACAGGGACCAATATCAATAAATATAATACCAGTAGCAGATACTTTACTCTTTAGCTTCTGTATATTTTCAGGAAATAATCTGCTCCATGTCGGACATCGTCTTGCACAAGCTATAGCTGTGCACAGCGAACCACTCAGTCAAATCATCTTGCAAATCATCTTGACAATGTTTTGAGTGAACAACTTTTCTAAGATTAAGTGTCATAGAGCACTATTTCAGTGAAAATTTCTTCCATAGCGTGAGAATAATACATCGAAATTATATATGAACCTATGAGGAACAAGACGCCTGCTCAAGGCGTTCACTCCGCCTGCATGGCCAACTGATGTACATAATTCATCCGTACTTCATCATTCATAATTCATCATTAATACAACCCAGATCTTCTCGGTCAAAAATGAAGTTGTTTTGGGTTACCGTTAAAATGCCAAAAAAAGACCATGACATTTTGAGACTCCGCTGCGCATACGCAGGCGGAGTAATTATTTATTTATTTAGCTTCGCCTATAATTACACAATCAACAACACATACACACAACCATTTCTGTCCTGCCCCAAAACGTGCAAACGTCAGACATTTGTCGTTGTCTCAGTGGTGGAAAACCAAAAAATATGCACTCTTGACCGCTATCCTCGGACGGTTTAATCTCAATTGATATTTTAAAATAACGTGAATTTTATGAGTTGAAAAATACGAAAAATTGCTCAGAACTTGACGTAAACCTTGTCAAACTTGTGGAATGCAGCATAATGCAGAATATTATGTCATATGGAAACCAGACATTAAACGAGAAGAAAAGCTGAGGTAAAAATGGAAAATTTATTACTCATGAGAGTGATAAGAGTTTGGTAATTTGTTCTCTGTTCGTTTTGAAATGTTCTTGATCAGGTATAAGTACCTCATGTGAATCAAATACACTTTGACTCTATTAATTTTAATACTGAATTCGACTCTATTAAATGAATATTGTTCTAGACTGTTTACCTGCCGTGTACTTCATAAAGAGTTTTGTTCTAAGCAGCCACAGACACTGGACCACCACGGTGATGATTATACGACACTTATATCGCTTCATGGCATGTTCTGGATGTGTATAAAACCTTTTTTGTCATTTAATTATTACCCTGGTAGTCATACAGCGTCCGTCGCGGTGCAAAACAAAACTCTTTATGAAACACACGGCTTGAAAACAGCCTAGACCGCTTTCGCTGAGAACGAAGCTCAATCAGGTTTGGGTATTAAAATAGAAACAATCTCTTAGACAATCGACTTTCTCATATTATCTTTCTTTAATCCTGGTTTAACTTCCACGTAAGGAATATTTCAGCGGGAAAAATAGGGATCTCCTCAGAAATAAAACTAGTAATCTTGAATTCACTTGCGACAATATTCGATCCGATTGCACCACAGAGCGAGTCAACTTTGTTAACCAGAACCTTCACGAAAGCATCGCTTGTTCAACTTTTTCATTGTATTTTACTTCTTTCCCCCTAAATTTACTGCTGTCAAAGCTACGGAGGCCTGTGCCTACTTCGAATTTTATACAAAAGAAAACCATTTGATATCGAAAGTTATATATGCTAATTACTAAACAGGAATTCTCGATAAATGGTATTGTTTTTCCGTTTAAGCTTGGTCAGATCAACAGGCAACAAACCAAACAATCTCCACCTAAACGCAGAAGTAAGGATTGAGAACATTTCTATTTTTAAAACGGTTTAAAATACTGAATATAAATATCGAGCGATATTGTTATTTAGCAAAATAACCAACACGAAACCATCGCGAATATTTTTAATGAAGATTGCTTTATTTTAAAAACACCGGATGTTTCGACAAATGGAGATGCTTTTCCGTTTCAGATGGTATCGACAGAAAGCAGATTTCACCCAAACAAACAAGGAAGAAAGCAAAAAACAATATTCTTTTTTAAATCTGTTTAGAGAACTTAGTATATTTATCAAACGATTGACCAAATTGCTGTATGGATGTCTCGCTGACTGGAAATAGCTTTCCGTTTCAGCATTAATGCCGATAAAAAGATTATGATCAATATCGTGATACTGAAGTACCGTCTGTCAGCGGAAAGTCAAGGCTGGTACCGCTTATAACTTATAAGATACCAAGGCCTTCAAAATTCCCAATGTGACGTCTCCTTCCATTAAACAACAAAGTAATCGGATAAAAATAACTCAAAACCATGATATAATACAACTGTTATTTATCAACAAGAACTTTCACAAAAGACCTTGTAGACCTTGTTAATGCATTTTTTCTTGTTTTTGAAATTTAACTGCTAAAGATGCGTCTATATACTATTGTATTTTAAACAACAAGCTATAGAAAGGGACATTTCATGCTAAATTTCTTGTACTATTATACTGGGACCAATATCAATAAATATAATACCAGTAGCAGCTACTTTACTCTTCAGCTTCCGTATGTTTTCAGGGTATGATATCAGTGCTCCATGTCAGACATCAACTGGCACAAGCTATAGGCATAGCTGTGCGCAGCAAACCACTCAGTGAAATCGTTCCATATATTGTTACTGTACTCGTAACAATAGTAGCAGCTACTTTACTCTATGTCTTATGTTTTCAGGGAATAATCTGCTCCATGTCAGACATCGTTTTACACAAGCTATAGCTGTGCGCAGCGAACCACTCAGTCAAATCATCTTGTAAAGCTTAACCTGACTTGTACAACTCTTCATTATTTCCCGAATGACAATGTTTTGAGTGAACAACCTTTCTAAGATTAAGTGTGATAAAGCACTATTTCAGTGAGAATTACTTCCATAGTCTGGAATAATACACCGAAATTATATATGAACCTATGAGGAATTACGTCATATTGAAACCAGCTATTAAACGAGAACAAAAGCTGAGGTAAAAATGGAAAATTTAAAACTCATGAGAGTGACAAGAGGTTTGGTAATTTTTTCTCGGGTAATCCATCCGACAAAACTCAAAGTATTGACAACTTTCGTTTTGCAATGTTCTTGATCAGGTGTAAATACCTCATGTGAATCAAATACACTTTGACTCTATTAATTTTAATATTGAATCCGACTCTATTAAATGAATATTGTTCTAGACTGTTTACCTGCCGTGTACTTTTGTTCTAAGCAGCCACCCACACTGAACCACCACGGTGATGATTATACGACACTTATATCGCTTCATGGCATGTTCTGGATGTGTATAAAACCCTTTTTGTCATGTAAGTATATCACCGTGGTGGTCATGCAGCGTCCGTCGCGGTGCAAAACAAAACTCTTTATGAAACACACGGCTGGAAAACAGCCTAGACCGTTTTCACTGAGAACGAAGCTCAATCAGGTTTGGGTATTAAAATAGAAATAATCTCTCAGACAATCGACTTTCTGATATTATCTTTCTTTAATGCTGGTTTAATTTCCACGTAACTTCTCATAAAGAAAACTAGTAATCTTGAATTCACTTTGGAAAATATTCGATGCGATTGCACCACAAAGCGAGTCAACTCAAATTGATGCCATAGTACAGGGAATATGACCACTCAAGGAATAATTTTTTTGGTGACGCATGTGTTTTACGCAATACATTATCATATTCACAGCCAGTCAGAACCGGTTATAGGCGAGGTGAAAACTTCATAATTATAATATAAGACTAATCAGGTTAAGCCAAATCAGGTTAAGCCAAATCAGGTTATTGATGTGATGCACTTTTTACATCGCCTAGCCGGGATGACTCGCTCCATGTAAACAGGGATTTAATTGCATTTTCCAGTCAATCATAACATCAAGCACGCGGTAACCGCAGCCAATACTGATTAAATAGCACCGGGTTACACAGTGAAGTGGCCCTACCGTTCACTTTGTATACTTGCTGATAGGCATTCATAAACCAGTTATCCTGCGAACTTATAACTGACATAATTAGAGAATTCTGAATTCCCTTACGTCAAACAGGACGCAGTTTTCCACATTTTTATTATATAGAATGTATTTTTCTCTCAAAGGGGACAAGATTTATGTTTTATGTTTTAGAGGCTGTTTACATGATCCCGCTTAGCGGAGATTCAACGAAGTGTGAGATGATGTTGAGGTATTGAAATGAGTATATGACATGATCCTGGACTTGTGTAATCACCCCGTCAAAAGCATCTGTTTGTTTGGTGTCATAAAGACTTATTTCAATACCTCAAAATCATCTCATGCTTTATGAATCTTGGATAACCGGGATCATATAAACTACATAGATTAATTACAAATTCACTTCGGTCAGCATTTAGCAGCTATGCGGAAATTTGCATGTGAATAGGAATGGATAAATATCCGATTCGTTATGTTTGGTTCCAGGTTAAGGTAGTATACTAACAAGAGATACGGTTAATTATGATTGTTAGGTTTAGGGGATAAAGTTTATGCGTGATTTCAGGACTGTTAAGGTTGATTTCAAGCGAAATTTCGAGCTGGCATTTTTTTACACCCCACAGTTATGGATAATTTGAATTTCAAAGATCAATCTATTTTTGACACGTTCTACACAATAAAAAGCGTTAGACCATTCAGCGAAGAATTATACTTCGAATAAAGCTTATCTCGTCATCGTCGACAGCAATAACTGGCATAAACATGGAAAGTTGCTTAAAATATCTCCCTCAAAAAAGCTACAATACCGCTGGCAGAGTACTCCTTACTATATTTGTATCAATTGGTGTTGTTGTGATTGGAATCGCAGGGATTTTTGAGTCTAAAGCGACGTTGCAATGTGACCCAAACAAGAGACTAGCGAGTGATTTACCAACAAGGAAGTACATCGACACGCAATGTTTACTGAAATACGCGCAAGAATTTCAGCCCTTCCTTCCTCTTTACGTTATCTTCATGCTGAATTTTGGATTTGTGCTCTTATTAAGTATCATTTACGCTTATTCCGTCGAACATCGCGTGAAAATTTTTGTGAACACTCAAAGTACAACAACGAATATCGGTGAAGAGGAAAGTCAGCCACTAATGTCGGAAATTTCACAAGCAGCTGCGGACCCTACCGCGCATCGAAAATCGGCTGGTCGTTATGTTGTTTTCACATGGTATGTCGTACATTTGATTATTTCTCGTATAATACCATTGGTAGTCTTTGCAGTTGTGCTGTTATCGTCATCAAATTTTCCGGTGCAATATCAATGTCAGTTGCAACCTAAAACCACAAGCTCCTCCAGGGTGAACTTTACCCAAAGGCAAAATACTAACTTTTCAACTGTGGATTGCGTATATCCCACAGGCAGCCAAAATAAAAATTTAGCCGTCGCTGTTGTAACAATAGATTTTCTTGTTGCTACCACAGCGTTTATTGAGCTTGTTTATTTGCTGTTGTCAGCATGGAATGATGATAATCTACTAACTGACAGAGAGTTTTGCTGTTTTTACCTTTTGAGAAAGAGTAAAAGGATACGAAAATTGATAAAAGTTATCAGAAAGAGCATTACAGAGGACACGTTCCATTTGTATGATGATTTTAACGAGGAAGATTGGAGACGTCGAAAACTGGAAGAGATGTATATTAATGTTATAATTCAAGAAGGAAGAGAAAGGACCTACAATTACACAACACGGTTTGAAAATAGACATGAAACCTACAAGACACATCTTAAACCCGCAGATAATGTGACTATTCTTAAGAATATAGAAGATCTCTTCAAACCAAAGTCGAAACATGATCCACTACCAAAGTCAATTCTGGTAGTTGGCCGCCCTGGCATTGGCAAAACTGTCTTGACGAAAAAGATGTTACGTCAGTGGCAAGTAAAATCATGTAAATTCTGGCGTGATAAAATTGTGATTTTAATACGATTTCGTACTTTCAACGAGGATGAAGGGATAACAAGTCTTCGAAAAGCACTTCACTGTTCTGATGGACTTAATATATCCGAGGCTGATTTCAATACAGTTTACGAATACATTTGTTTGATGCCAAGTAAAGTTGTTTTGATTTTTGATGGCTTAGACGAACTTATAGTTGATGAACAGTATTTAAATGAAAAAAGCAATAATGCTCTCTACAATGAAGAAACGCATATTTTGTTGATCTTTAAACAGCTTTTGAAAGGTCAACTATTGCCAGGAGTGACAGTAATAACCACGTCTCGACCCACCGCAGAGCACATTTATAATTCTCTGCCATGGGAAAGAAAGGCCGAAATATTAGGTTTTCACGAGGAGCAAATTCGTGAGTATGTAACAAAGTTTTGCGTGACGATGAAAAAAGTTCAGAAATATGGAACTTGATCAAGCAGTCGCCAGAGCTTTTGAGCTTATGTTACATACCTGTTAATTCATATATCGTGTGTTTAACACTTAAGAAAAGCATTGATATGAATCAGGGAAGGAAGCTAATGATCGTAAAGATGTCCCAAGAACAATTACAGAGTTGTATAATAGAGCGGTAAAGATTTTACTCTTCAGCACCATCCACAATTCAAGGCAAAAAAAACCCAAAGGGTTATAGCACTGCAAAACTTCCTGAACCACTTCAGAATGACTTGGACAAACATAAAAAAAAAGCCTACGAGGGAATGGTGGATAACCGGTTGATATTCAAATTTGAGAGTGATGATGAGTTTGTTACCGAACTGTCAAACTGTGGTTTACTCAATAAGTTGAAAGACAAAGAACGGCATATGTTTTGTTTCCTTCATCTTACAATTCAAGAGTTTCTTGCAGCACAACACGTCGTTGATGACATCAAAAATGTTGAATCATTCTTATCTGAGCACATTGATGATCCCAGGTGGCATTTAGTGATCTTGTTTGTTGCTGGATTGATTGGAGATAAAATTAAACACTGCAGGCGGAAAGGTACACCAGAATAACGAGCAATATTTACACTTTTATGATTATAGTTTTGTACTGAATGATATAGCAAATCAAATATCAGCTATAGACTTACTTAGTCATTTGATAAAACAAGTTTAGCAGAGCAAAAAATGTTATTAAAAAGGGTTGCTGCATGCATGCATGGAGTATTTCTATAGTATTTTTTTTCTCTTTTTTAACAGAACAACGGAAAGTTTAAACAACGAAAGATGCAAAGGAGTAATGCAATGGTTTCACCAGAGGTGTGTTAGCTACTACTATTCTCTAATTGCATGCCCAGTTAGTTATTATTTCCTGTTTTTTTTTGTGATTTCATTTGCTGCAGCAGCGTCGTGTTCTGCAATTTTGGCTAAAGGGTTATTTTTGCAACAAATTACCCAGACGTTTTAATTGCAATTTCACACCATCAGCCAAAAAGTTAAAAAACATTATATTGATCTCAACAATGGTTGGGATACAGTAAATCGCCGGATTTCAATAAATTTAGTCAGGCGTAGAGGCAAGGGATAGGTAGTTCGTCTTCTGGATATAGCAAACAGACGAAAGTTCGTCTATTTAGACGAATTTGAATGGCAGTTCAGCTTGACGCGTCTTCTGTCTGTATAGAATAGACTTCCACTGGCGGAGAAACAGGTGCTTGCGAAATACTTACTTATCTTCTTTTGAATTTTAACAATATAAATAAATTAGTTTAGCTTGAGTATTCTGATTTCAAAAGAAAATATGCAAATATTTCGCTACCGAACCATTTCTTAGCAAGTGGAAATCCACCCTTAGTTTAAATACGGGGCGGGGACAAACTGCGAAAAATTTATCATAGAACGGCTTTTGTACACTCTTTTTACCAGAAATAATTTCCTAATTTCCGTGCACTTCCTAAACGTGCGGTTCTGTTTGCTTTAACATATTTGTCTACACAGTTCGTCTAGTGAATTTGTCTTGTGTTTATATACTCAGACGAATGATCCGTCAGACGGACCATTGGTCTACTAAACGGATAATCCTCGGTAAAAACCGAGCATGGGAGGTCAATAAAAGGTTTATTGTATGGCATAAGGCATATATTTGCACTTGAAACAAACAAAAAATGCATGAATTCGTATTAGTAGCCTGGTATGCATGTGATAAAAACAAAAACAAAATATTGAATATTATTTAGTTTACCTTAACTGTCTGGGACGATGAACTCAAATGCTAACTGATTATTGGCCGAGCGTGAGGTCTGTACTGTGAGATATCAGACCGAGGATTTTTAGTATGGACCGAGCGACGAAGGAGCGAGGTTCATGCAAAAACCTCGGTCTGATATTTTACAGTACAGATCGAACAAGCGAGGGTCAATAATCTGTTTATTATATGGCTGAACTGCATGAGACATCCGGGATACTGGTCCAGAAACGGAATATACGAACTATGGTCCGGATATGGATTTTTACGACCGCTCGTCAACCAATCAGAATAGAGGATTTTGAAAAGCCATATAATAATGTCAATTATTGATGTGTTTTTACGAATTAACATACAGTTTGTACTGACAACTTTGAATATCACTCATATAAAATGGTATCTTCGTTCAATTCAAGATTCGAAGATTGAGATTCGTTGACGCATGAGATACACGATTGCAAATTATATCCAAAAGCAGCAATAAAAAACTACTCTGTTTTTTCAAAAGAAACAGAAAATTGACAGACTTTTTCATACATGCAGAATTTATTGAATTTGATTATTTATTCCGTACTACATATGAAAGATAACAACTGCCTAAAATAGACATAACACTTCTCGACGTTTCGACCTGCATGATGGCCTTCGTCAGGAGAGTTATAGTATGACTCTCCTGACGAAGGATAACTCGAGAAGTGTTTTGTCTATTTCATAGGCAGTTGTTATACTGTGTTTGATGCTAAGTTGTTTGAAGACGCTGCCACGCTGCTCCCTAGTTAAATTGGAACATAAGAGAGAGCTGTTTTTTAGCGCAACGATATAGCCCGGTCCTATATTTATAAAAGCAAAAAACACTCATATACTTTCAGTATCTAAAATTCACAAACGAGTACCGCATGCATTTGGTCATATTTGGCCATACCTAGGGGCAGGGGCGTAACTAGAACGATAATCGGGGTGGGTGAATATTCATGTATTCAGTTCTGCCCGACGGATTTCTATTGTAAGCTATTGCAATTACAAAAGAAATCCGTCTGGTAGAACTGGATATATGAATATTCACCCCCCCCCCAATTATCCTTCCAGTTACGCCACTGCCTAGGGGACAGTTTTAGAATGCCCGAGTAGAATTTTTATTCTGTTGGAGAGATTCCAGATCGATAGTGAAAAGCTGCTGCCCACAAATATACTTCTCCGTTAGATGAACAATACTCAACCTCGAAAACAGCGAATCGAACTTGTTGTAAATATTGTTCTGAACATCATAACATGTCTTAACATTGTTCTTGTATAGATTTAAAGACTGCAAGTTAGGAAAAAGACTAACTAAGGTTAATCAAGATATCTTATTTTTAATAAGATGTGTTCATGAAATGCAGAAAGTTAGTGTCATGGAATCAATTGCATCACTTGTGTGTTCTGGCAATGAAGAGCATAAAGAATTATTTGTGGAAAACATTGATATTGCGCCTGTGGAATCTCCTGCTTTATTTGAATTTATAAATCACATCAAAAGCTTGAACAAACTGTCGATCAATTTGTGTAGAATAGAGAATTTAGTCGCTCGTGAATTAGCCAATAAGTTATTGATGAAAACTAACAGCATCCCTGAATTAGACGTAAGTGACAATCAATTGAAACAAAAAAAAGCTAAGGATTCACGTGATTCTCTGAAGAATGTCAATTGCAAACTTATTATGTTACGCATTTCTGGAAGTGAACTAACTGATGACGGTGCTAAATATTTAAGTGAGGCTCTAAAGTGTCAGAGTTGTAAACTTACGAAATTAGACGTGGCTGAAAACAAACTAACTGCTGACGGTGCGGGATATTTAAGTGAGGCTCTAAAGAGTCAGAGTTGTAAACTTACGAAATTAGACGTGACTTTTAACAAGCTAACTGCTGACGGTGCGGGATATTTAAGTGAGGCTCTAAAGAGTCAGAGTTGTAAACTTACGAAATTAGACGTGGCTGACAACAAACTAACTGCTGACGGTGCTAAATATCTAGGTGAGGCTCTAAAGAGTCAGAGTTGTAAACTTACGAAATTAGACGTGGGTTTTAACGAACTAACTGCTGACGGTGCTGGATATTTAAGTGACGCTTTGATGAGTGAAAACTGCAAACTTACAGAATTACACGTGGCTTTTAACGAACTAACTGATGACGGTGCTGGATATTTAAGTGACGCTTTAAAGAGTGAAAACTGCAAACTTACGAAATTAGACGTGGCTTTTAACGAACTAACTGCTGACGGTGCTGGATTTTTAATTGACGCTTTGAAGAGGGAAAAATGCAAACTTACGGAATTACACGTTGCTTTTAACGAACTAACTGATGACGGTGCTAGATATTTAAGTGACGCTTTAAAGAGTGAAAACTGCAAACTTAAGAAATTAGACATGGCTTCTAACCAACTAACTGCTGACGGTGCTAGATATTTAAGGGACGCTTTGAAGAGTAAAAATTGCAAGCTTACGGAATTAAACGTGGCTAGAAACGAACTAACTGCTGACGGTGCTAGATATTTAAGTGACGCTTTGATGAGTGAAAACTGCAAACTTACGAAATTAAATGCGGCTAAAAACAAACTAACTGATAAAGGTGCTAGATATTTAAGTGACGCTCTGAAGAGTGAAAACTGCAAACTTACGGAATTAAACATGACTTTTAACAAACTAACTGCTGACGGTGCTAAATATTTAAGTGACGCTCTGAAGAGTCAGAGTTGTAAACTTACGATATTAGTCGTGACTGAAAAAGGATTAACTGACGACGGTATTGGATATTTAAGTGACGCTTTAAAGAATGAAAACTGCAAACTTACGAAATTATGTGTGGTGGCTGGAGACAAACTAACTGCTGACGGTGCTAGATATTTAAGTCACGCTTTAAAGAATGAAAACTGCAAACTTACTGAAATGCACGTGACTTATAACACACTAACTGCTGACGTTGCGGAATATTTAAGTGAGGGTTTAGAGAGTCAGAGTTGTAAACTATTACGTACTGAATTAGTCGTGGCTGAAAACACTAACTGTAGACGATGCTCGGTATTTTATTAAGTGACTCTTTGCAGAGTGAAAACTGCGAACTTACTCAATTAGACATGTCTGGAAACTTTGAATCATTAAGTACGACATATAATACCAGGAAAAAAATTAATTCCGGAAAATAATTAATTTTACATTCATTGTATTCTACAACATTTACCGATATTCTGCTAAAGTCTTAACATTGTAATAATTTTCTTAAATTATTTGTTATTATAATTGAAAATAAAATAATAATTTTTTTACAAAGAGAGAAAATAATATCACAAACTTTGAGTACTTGCTCAGGGTACGGTCCGAAAAAAAATCCTGAATCCGAAGCTGCACTGTCTTAAACATGCAGATTGTGGATGTTGATATAGTTATAGATGTTGAAATAAGGGACCTTCAAGTTTAGATTCCCGTTTACGGCAAACGCTAACTGCTAACACATTTTGTTTTTCAGTAACTGCACTGTATTAAAATGTGCAGCAATTTCGCTAAGTTACAAACGTTCTACATAAAACTCGTGATGTTCAGCAGTAATGTAAGAAAGCAGAAGCGATTGCTGATGTATTTAGCAAAGCAGTAGCTAAAATCCAGCTTTGCGCTGTATATTTCACGTTTGCCGTAAAAAAAGTTATATCCGTTGAATTATATCTTGAATGCCTACGCGTGACTAGTTACGAATGCTCTGATGTATAAGAACTCTTATTTGAAAATTAGTAATTAACTCACTCATTCACATCAAGCAAGAGAAAAAAATCGCTCATAAAATCGCATCATAAATTTCAAGTGTAAACAGGCCTCAATAATATAATTTAAGTCTATCAAAAGAAGAAAATTGCATTGAAGATTGCAGCAAAAATTGTTAAGTGTAACTGTGTAAGCGCGCCTTTATGGTCTGTTTAAATGATTCAGTTTTGTTCAGTTCCAATTCATTTCTGACGTGTGGAATGAAAGTTGTTTTTGATGATAAAGCAGTACTGCGTTAGCTTGAATTGATTCACCGCCCACATAAATTTCTTCTAAACTTCCGTCGTGTATTCCAGAAAGGTGCGAGCGCTGGACCCCTATAAGGTAATCATAATGACAGTTATCGTTTCATAACTTTATTGAAATGCTAACAAAAATCTTCGCTGGGAAAGAAAATTTGGTCCCACAAATCTGAAGAATACACAAAATTGAAAGAAAGGTAACTTCGTTGCCTTTTAAAGCTTGGAGGAGAAAACAAGGCATAAAACTGAAATTTAGCATCTGAAATTGAGTGTTTATACAGAAATTCGAATTATATACTTTATCATCTAATGAGGTTTATCATCTAATAAAGTTTATCATCTAATGAACATAACAATAGACATTTCCTCTTTTAGCTTTCATACGCGCAATGCGTGACGGCAGTTGATTATCAAGCAACCTTGAGTTGTAATATCTCTGTGTTTAGAAGTGATTTTGTTTGTGAGAAAACCTTTTTGCTTTTTTGTTAAACTAAATCGCTCCTGAACATGGCGAAATCACATCTCAAATTGACCTTGATAATCAACTACCGTTACGCATTGCGGGCTTGAAACCTACCAGGGGAAAGGTGTATTTAAGCAGTTGGTTTGATCTTTGCATAGCAGCACATTCTGCAAGTAAATTTGCTCGTGTAAGGAAAATATTAGCATTAGCGTCAGATAACACTGATGTATAAAATGGATCAAATATTGAAATCGATTCCGCATAAAAGCTACAATAAGTTTGGTTTGGTAGTTCTTAAGATTTGGAGTTTAAAGCGACCCTTCAATGTCACCCAGACAAGACCCTCGCTAGCGACAAATCAACAGGATTCATTGAGAGTTGTTCTCGCAAATACACGCAGGAATTCTACCCTTCCTGGACGCTCACTACCTTGTTGTTCAATAAATTATATTGTTACTGTACTCGTAATCAATAGTAGCAGTCACTTTACTCTTTAGCTTCCGTACGTTTTCAGGGAATAATCTGCTCCATGTCAGACATGGACCTGCACAATCAAATCAGTGGAAAGCTCAACTTGACAATGTTTTGAGTGAACAACTTTTCTAAGACTAACGCCTGTATTCTAAAAGCTTACTCACACTCACACTCAATGAGTAGAGGTTCATTACTCGAAAGTGCAACTAGGAACTCACTGAGTATTATTTCACTCTCAATAAGTGGAAAGTTACACTTTCCCTCGGACCATTCACAAACGGCACTCACTCTCGATTTAGAGGCCGAGTTTGATTGCAGTATGAGTGTAGGTCATACTTCCCTTGAACCGGCCACACTCAAACAAAGTTGTGATAAACAACATGGCGAATCTATGGCTTGAAATATTGCAACAATTGGACAATTTGCAACGCAATAAGGGATTTACTATAGAATTTACAATAGAATTTACTATTTCAACTATGAAATTTATGATGAAGAACAATTTAGAAGCAGATTTAGATTAACTAAGGATGGTTTTCGGGAGATGTTTGACATTATAGAGGCAGATATATTGCTCATAACGAACGAGGGAATCCAATTCCTGCAGAAATTAAGCTTTTATTGACTTTACCTTATTATGCAACTGACACGTTTCAGGAAGCATGTGCGAACCTTTGTGACATATCACAACCGTCTGCAAGTCGTACGTATCATTAAGCGCGTATCTGAGGCTATTACTCGACTGAGAGTTCATTATATCAAATTTCCTGCTGTTGAAATGCTACAGTAAACCAAACTTGAATTCTGGAGAATATGCTCGTTTCCTAATGTTGTTGGGGCAATTGATTGTACCCATATAAAAATTCCATGCCCAGGAGGAGAAAACGCAGAATTGTTTAGAAATCGGAAGGGGGTTTTTTTCACTGGATATTCAAGCAGTTTCTAGGCCAAATCTAGAAATACAGAACATCGTTGTGCGGTGGCCAGGCAGTGTGCACGACTCGAGAATATTTGATAACAGTCGCTTGTGCGCTCAGTTTGAGTGTGGTGACATCTAAGGCATGCTTCTCGGTGATCATAGCTATCCTTGTCGACCTTACTTGATGACACCTATAGCGGACCCACATACACCCCCCGAACGTAGATACAACGTTTCCCAAATTCGTACAAGAATTACTGTGGAGAGGAAGTTCGGGGTTTGGAAAAGGTTATTCCCCTGCCTCTCCATGTCCATTAAAACAAAACTGTCCACTACCCTTACCATTATTGTAGCGACAGCAGTCCTGCACAATTTTATAAGAAGAAGAAATGATCCAAAAGAAGAAGAAAACCTGGAGGATCCGGATGAAAATCCTTTACCTGCTATGAACGACCACACCCAATCCCTGGGAAATGCAACAGGTCGTGCTCTCATAATACAGCAATTTACATGAATTTTTAACTCCAACTCGTTTTATTTTGATTTTATTATAAAATGAATATGCAAGCTATATGCTTGGTCCATCAACAATTGTTTTTATTCCTTTGCCGTGTAAAGCGCTTTGGAAGCTCTTCTGGAGTATCAATATCAGCCGTTCTTTTTTTGGTAGACGTCCAATATTGTAACTCCGCTTCAAGGAACTCCATCTTCTTC